TACCTGCGATCATCATGTCGTACTTGGAAGGGTGGAATGATGTAATCGGAGATGGTAACTGCGGATTCCGGGTCGTGGCTGATGTTTTTCAAATGGGCGAAGACAACTACGGTTTGGTGCGTGAGTTGATGTACAGCGAAATTGCCTCTAACCGAAATGTTTATCGTCATGTGTACCAGGATGACTTGGATGGCACTCTCCGGCGTATCCGGTGGGGAGGTGGACCTTGCGGCGAAAATCATTATTTTGACGCGCCCCTAGATCTGTTTGCCGTTGCAAACATTTACAAATGCGCAGTCATGCATTTCGGCCTGGGAGTGCATAGTCAAGCTTATTATCCTTGTACCACGGTTCTCCCTTGGCGGTCGCGTGAGACTGTCACCACACCGGTCAGAGAGCTAGCTATTGCGTTTCTTGGGTCGTCATACAGACATTTCATCCGACTAGACATGTCAACCGATTTTCCGGTGCCACCGATTATACCTCGGTGGTACAACATTCGCACAGCGAGCGTAGAGGGTTGGGATGCGCTATATAATGACCGGATCCACGAATGGAACACCCTAGCTGCATTTTAGTTTTTCTTGTTTACATTCTTTATTTGTAATCTTATTTGTACGTTGCTCTTTTAATGAGAACATTAATATTTTATATTGTATTGCTTACTGCATTCTATATGTTGCATGGGTAAGTTGCGCGGATCCACGAACGGTTATATCAAAATTTAAAAACAGCACTGATAATATGTTTAAGTTGGAAGCTAAAAGAACAATCTAAAATGTTACAATTTTACAACATAATGTCCAACATAATGCTCTATAAATAAAATACAATAACCATCAGTAATCCCTCCTCGACGACGACTCCCACTGCGCAAGGGTCTGTTCCAGACTATCAACAACAGCTCTCCCTGTTGCACTCATGCTGTCCTTCTCAAGAGAGAGTTTCTGAACGTCTTGCATTATCTTTCCCATCCACTGCATACAACAAAAAACAGAAGATGAAATACAATAACAACAAATAAAACTTAATTAAAAGACAACGATAAATATAATAAAAGACATACCGCTTCCGTGGCAGTAGGCGGTGGCACATAATCATCATCGCTGTGGTCGAGATCAGCGATCAACCTCGGGTGCGAATACCGGTTGAACCATTCCATGTAGTAATGGTCACACATGGGAGTAACCCCAGAGGGCGGCCGCTGCAACTCCGCTGTCCATAATCGAGCCACCATCGGAAACTGGTCCCACGTCCCGGTCATGATATCCGGCCATTCCACGACGTACTCCCTCGACGATGCAGGTCGGACCGCCTTCATCGGGCACGCCGGGGGAGGAGGGACAACTTGGACAAATCCAAGCTGGCGAAGACAACGCTGGGGCATGTACGCCTCGACGATGTCACGATACTGAATGAGTCCCGTGTACAGGGTCCTGGGTACCCTAACACTAGGGTTCGGGCCGAAAGGCATCCAGTTCACCTGTACAATTACAACATATAAAATATAATAACATGAATATAATATGTGCAAATAATAAAATGTAGACTCTATAAATAAACGTTACCTCTAAGGGGGACAGCCTGTCAAGCAATAACCGTATCGATCGGAGGCGGTCAACGGACTTCTTCTCCGAGCGCGGACTCCACGCACAAGCACGCGGCATCCCCTCATCAATAGGAACTGGGTCACGATGTGGTCGCAATGCAGGAAAGTACTCGTATATCCAAGTCTGCAATAGAGTCAGACACCCAGTGATACCTGCCGCGTCAGCCCGACTCGCAAATCCTAGTTGGCGATACAAATACGCCAACGTAGCCGATCCCCAGGAAAACTGGCCTACACTGTCGGGGTCACACGCCTCTACGATGTCGCTGGCCTGAGCTTGTTTCCGCCGCTCTTATCCGGAAACAAGGTACATCCGAGGAGTAGAAAAACATAAGCACTCAGCTGTGCGTCGGGCGTCCTACGTGCACTCGGGTACAAACACCGCTGCAACACGGATGCGATCTTCACACCTCCGTGTTCCCAAACACCTAGCGCCTCGGTGTACAGTGCAGCCCTGTCCACCGCCAACAACTCCGCCAGCGAATCTGCCTGATCCGCATCAGCCACAGCACAAAGTCGTTTACCCTCAACACGAATCCCCAGAATGGCCTCGACGTCATGTAACATGATCGTCATCTCACCGAACGGAAGGTGAAAAGAGTTTGTATCCGGCTGCCGTCGCTCAATGAAAGTCGTGATCAGCGTACTGTCAATCTTATCGTGCATGGTGGCAGGAACGTGCTTCACCCCAGTGCCCTCCAGTCGCTCGAACATCTCGCTCTCCGCCGGCCAGGCCTCAGCCCATGTACGCAAAAAACTACAAGTCTTTTCCCGGGTATGACATTTCAACAACCCCGTAACTGAAGGCCTCTCCTGGTCCTCCCAAATACGGGCAGCTATGTGTCCTAGAAAGCTAGGAATCACACTCCCGTCAACAGGCCCACCGGACACCTCACTCCTAACAACCCAAGAATCATTACCCGCCCTCGACCGTTTCCTGCTTGCCCCAGATACAATGGACGCAGATGATGTGCCAGATCTACTAACAAACCTACCACCCCTACCCTTACGCACCTCCACCATATGCGTCTCGTACATGTCATCAACCCTCTGACTGAATGGACCGTAATCATCATACGGTCCACTGCCATCGTCCACATCCTCATCCTCATCTGCGCCCTCCTCCTGCTCCTCCTCCTGGTCACCCTCCTCAGCATCATCATCGTCATCGTCATCCTCATCCCGACGGTGGATCCGTTCTCTACGAACTGAGGCCGAAATACCACGGGATCTGACATGTCTATGCCCCGACCTCTCCACTGAATAACTTCTACTAAGAAGCTCTATATTCTTCCCCCCACCATGACGACCCTACACAAAATTTTAAAATATATAAACATACAAAAATTTATACGATAAATAATCATCATCGCAAATCAAATACACTAAAAACATACAAATAATTGTAAACAAAATATAAACGTAAAAAAAATACAACGAAATTGAAAAAATTTATAAAAATAAACAACAAAATATAAAAAACAATTCAAAATTATATTACAAAAAAAAAAAAAATTAAAAACAATTTTTTAAAAAAATTAAAAAAAAAAAAAAAAAATGGGGGGGGGGGCGCCTTGGCTGGACGCCCAGCCGGCGGTGGTGGCGCCAGATGCAGACGCCGCCACCAGTTGGCTGGCGCCTGGGCTGGACGCCACAGCCACGGCTGCGGCGCCTAGACTAAACGCCACAACCGTGGCGGTGGCGTCCAGCCCAGGCGCCAGCCAACTGGTGGCGGCGTCTGCATCTGGCGCCACCACCGCCGGCTGGGCGTCCAGCCAGGGCGCCCCACCGCGTTCACGGCGGTTTTCCCCTTTTTTTTTAAACAAAATATACCTTTCCTCCTTGGGACATCCTTCCCTCCGCCGCCGCCGCCACTTCCTTGCCTTGCCGCCTCGACATTGCCGTTATTTTGAAATTTTTTTTTTAGAGAGGTTGAAAGAAGATGAGCAATGAGAGTGTGAGTGTTTTTTTTTTTAAGGTCAAGGGCAATTTTGGGAAACCAAGTGAATTTTGTGGGCTTTATGTAGTAATTTGTGGGCGATGTTTAACAAATCCCATAGTTAATACCCGAGCTAGAATTTTCAATTAATACATAACTGGATTATTTTTATGCATAACATAATTTTTCAATTACTACATAACTGGATTATTTTTATGCATAGTATATGAAAAATAAATTCAGTATGCTGATTTACTTAGTCTATCAATATTGGAATTATCAATATGTAACAAACTCTATTTTTTTTATTTGGTCTAATTGAATATAGCATTGTGTATGTTGAAATTGAAATTTTCAATCTTATTTTTTTACCCTGATAAAGTTAAATTTTAGTTATGATTGCTTTTAAATATTAAGCTTTAAAACTAACTTGAAATTATTTAATTTTCAATGAAAAAAATGACAAAAAAAAAAATAATGCTTTCGGCAGGAAATTTTATTATGTGGTGTTGACATGTGTAATCTAATAATTTTTTCTTGAGATCACTTTAGTATAGTACTAGACTAGATTAGGCTCGTGTGATGTGCGATTTTAACATTATTTTATTTTAACTATATTTTTTACCTTATTTGTGTGTAATGTGTACGTAGTACAAATAATTTGAGCAAAATCTAATAAATTGAGAAATTAATAAAGGGTGGAACCCCAATTCATATAATATGTACAAAATATACGGAGTAGCAGAAAAAGATATTGTTTATAAGAAAATGATGAAATAGTCTAACCTTCCTTTTATTTCTCTAATGAAAATTGAATAATTAGTCAAATTAAATATAAAATATGTTAGGAAAATATAGAATTAATTTACCATTTTCAAATTTTTATTTATGTTGAAAAAAAAATGATGTCATTATTAGTTTTGGAGGAAATTTTTTGTATGAGAGGTTGACATGTGAAAAGTAATGATATCATCAGTAATTACTTTATTTATATATATGTTGAGATCCAATGAGAAGGATCTTATAATGAGAAGAATGAGAAAGATGAAATGTGCATTTATTTTAAACCAAATGTGCATATATTTTCTACTAAATGTGCGTATTTGACTTTGAACCTAATACTTTTTTTTGCAATTTCTGGAAAAACGAGAACTTATGCACATTATGTGCAAAAAATATGCACATTCAATTTCGGTCATTTTTTTTTTTTGCACATTTTATTAAATATATATATATATATATATATATATATATATATATATATATATATATATAATATATATATATATATATACATATATATATACATATATATACATATATATATATATATATATATACATATATATATATATATATACATATATATATATATATATATATATATATATATATATATATATATGTTTGTGTGTGTGTATGATGATTAAGTGATTCTTCACGTTATTGCAGGGTATTGTTGCTTCCGGTGTAATGGTGACATTAACCGCTTGGTGTATTCGTCTTAAAGGACCATTGTTCGTGTCCATATTCAACCCTTTAACAGTTGTTCTAGTCGCATTTGCAGGATATCTCTTACTGGATGGAAAGTTATACTTTGGAAGGTACATTTTCAAATCTTTTTCCCTTTAAGATATATATACCGAGAGAGAGCCCCAATTTATCTAGTGATAAATAAAAATCGTTTATCTACTGACATTTTCATAAATAAATCAACAAAACATCTCAGTCAGCATGCCATTTTTGTAAATAAATCAACATTTTCTTAATCTCTATTATTTTTATGAGATAACAACATATAAGTGGTGTACTTGTACCAGTGTACTAGGAGCAATATTAATCGTGATCGGGTTATATGGGGTAGTATGGGGTAAAGGGAAGGAGATAAAGAAGATAACAAAGCTTATGCCTTCAATGAGTTGCAAAGATTCAAATGAAGATATCGAAATTATTACATCTTCAGTACTTGACAAGGGAAGCAACGCTAATAAGGATATTGTTATGAACAATGCTTCAACAAGGCCAAATTTTGCAACAAAGTAAGATGATAATCACTCATTTCAAAACGACAATATTGACGTTGATGCTCAATGATGTGAATCCAAAAATGTTGTATGATTATCATGAAAATCGGTATGTTAATCATCTATTACTCCATGCTACAAGCTGTAATGTAGGTTTAGTAGTCATAATCGTTGCTAGTTATTTTACAATTTAGAATCTTGTATTGCAATCTGAGTTTTTTATGCAAGACGCAACTCCATTCTCTTTTCCTTGTGTTGTTAAATTGATTGTCGATTTTATGAAAATTGCGTACGAAGGAGAAGAATTATAAGATCGAAGATCTCATAATAATAGTTGCAACGTGTTCTAGTGTCCATTGTTTAAGAAGAAAACATGCCACTGCCAACACAAGATATTATTAATAAAAAATTTAGTACGTTCACTCTCACAATGACCGTCACTATACTTAATTCTCATTGGTGGAATTTGATTTAATTTTTAACCTTGGTCAAACCTTAATTTTGGTATTTTCCTTTTTTAATTCATTTTCTTTTTTTTCCAAAATTCAATTAATTAATTTCAGAAATTGTTATTTTAATTTTCGAAATTATTTTATCTAAATCTAATTTTAATAAAATCCAAAATTAAGAATTGTCACGGTCCGGGAGTTTGGACTCCGAAACGTGCGGCGCGCTCTAGCCTTTTGGCGGCAAGAACGCTAGCCTTGAGCGGAAGAGGGGCTTGTGAGCACAAAGCAACACAAGCAGGCAATTAAATTAAAGGAATACTCGCGTCTATTTGGGCAACGGAGTGCGGGTGGTCGGGGCTTGTGACGGTCGATAATTCAAGGCGGGCACAAGGGGGTCCGAACCACGAGTTCTTAGTGCATCAAGTTGGTTTGGAGGGGAGCTATTATGCAAGTAAGACACAATATCTATAAAGGTCTAACAACAAACAAACATAAGAGCAAAGCAACACTGGGTAGAACCATAGAAGAAGATGAAAAATAAAAATTAAAAATCGAAAATTTGTTCTTCATAGTTCATCGATGTTCTTCAAAAAATTTCATCAAGTTATGAAATCAACCACGATTTTATGTTCCATGTACCTAACTTTTAATCGCGCATCAATGGAAACCGAAAAAATATTCCATATTTATATAGCCATTGCGCATTGCTATGATATACATAATCGGTTTCTTCCATCATGTGGGTTGGTTATTAATCTTTGATTAATGGAATTAAAGGGTTGCGATAACGACATTTTTTTATAATCGAATTCAAAAATTATGAGTTTTTGCTAGGATTTTTTGACTTTTACCACCAAAAAAAATCACGAAATTATTTTTTACTACCAAAATTTTAAAAAGTTGTATTTAACCACCAAAAAAAATTCTAAAAATTGATTTTTTTACCACCTACCGTCAAGAAAACCGTTAAATTTAACGATTTAAAGAAAAACTCTTCGATTTTCGTGCGCAAAACATATTGTTCATAGGCTTAGGGGGGAATTTTGGCACTATGAGTTCAATTTGAAGTCAGAATTGACAAAAAATGATCGAAAATGCCTCGTTTTGCGTGTTTCATGCAAACCGAGGTGTTTTCTAACACACAAAAAGAAGTATTTCCGATCATTTTTTGTCGATTCCGACCTCAAATTGGATCCATAGGGCCAAAATGCCCCCCAAATCCCCTAAATATGATGTGTTTAGCACAACAATCGAAGAATTTAATATATTCTGTTAGGTTTTTTACGGCAGGTGGTAAAAAACAATTTTTAATTTTTTTTGGTGGTAAAATAAAACTTTTAAAAATTTTGGTAGTAAAAACAATTTTGCGATTTATTTTGGTGGTAAAAGTCAAAAAATCCCTTTTCCTATTATGGATTCATCATTCAAATCTGACAAGAAACCGTTTCATTTTTTTCCCGTAACCCCATTTGATCCAAAAAAAACCGCACATGGATTTTAAATATTGTTTGTGTATGCGGTATTTACCCAAACAATTATAGGACATTACCTTTTGCAAAACAAGTTTATTAATATATAGGAAATTTTGTCAACAACTACTAATTATAGCCTTGGTTTTGAAAACAACTACCTTTTAAATTTTTTTTTAAAAAACAACTACCACAAAATTTTTAAAGTTAGAGTAGCACTACCACATTAGTATTTCCGGCTAGAATCTCCGGTGAGGGGGGCCCACATTTTACCTTTCCCTCCAATATGACCATCTGCAATTACCTTATTACCCCTCATTTAATCCGGACCCAACTACCTCCCCTTCTCTTCATTAATTTCCCGCTTAACTCTCTCTTTCATCTCCATCTTCATTTACCTCCTCCAATGTTCACAGAGAATATTCTCCATTTCTCACCTCACACTATAAGCTAGCTTAGGTCATTGAATTTGACCTAATTTTTGTCATGTTTTCTTTATCTTTTCTTTCTCTTTTGCTGTGGTCCAAAGTTTCCACCCAAAAAAGCAGATTTAGGAGTTGTCGTTTCTACTTTGGGAAAGAGCTGGAGCTTTAATGTAGAAGGGGAAGATGGTGACAGGTGGTAAAGGACACATTCCACTTAAAATCAGGTACATTATGTAATTATAACTCAAATCTATAGGCTTTTGTTTGCGTAATTAAAAATTAATTTAAACCTTAATTTTTTAATCTAAAATGTGAGAACCTAAAATAGAATTAAATAAATTAACTTGTATTTAAGCAATTGGAGTAATCAATGTGAGTAATTAGTTAAATATTGTAGTTGTTGCTACTTTGATTTTGATAAAATTGTATTTTATCTCTAGGAGCATGTGTTTTTGCTTTGCATGTGTTGAAATCTGCATAATAAACAATGAATTGAAATCTAATTATACCTTATTTTATTGTAGGCCTGTTTCTAAGTATATTAACATGAATGTATGGGTAGGGGGTGTGTTTGAATATAAAAAGGGTAAAACTGAGTACATTGGGGAGGAATGTTTATGAAGTTGAGTTTCTGGTTGAAGGAATTGACTGTGAACAATATAAGGAGAGTAGTGATACAAGCTTATGACTTGGTTGTAAAAAGAGTGCCAATGAACTTTAGTGTATGGTATAGGTTGCATGGAAGAAATTTGACAAATGGGAGGAGGAAGCTAGAATCAGAAGAGGACTTTATGAATTTGGTTAAAGGGAGGGATTTAAATGACAGGGTTATTATGTGGGCTGTATTTGAGCCTGATACTCCACAAATTAGGCCCAACAACAATATTAGATACAAAAATCCAACATATGTTCCACCTAGACCAGCAACCCCAATTGTATATAACCCCACCAAAAAGTCATCTCCTACCCATTAAAAAGGAGAGTGTTGAGATAAGTAGAAGTTGTAGGTTATCTCCAGTCAAAGAAAGTTGTTCTAATGTGGATATAGAGGTTGTGGTTGTCAGAAAAGAGGAGTTTGAAGAGCACATGGCTTCACTTGCTAGACAGAGCCCACTACTGCCTCTAACATCCACCAACACTGCCAGGGCATCTAACCCTCTTTTACAGTGCATTGCTTATTCTCCTAAACCCATAGCATCTCAAAGTAAACCTTTACCAACCCCTAAACCCAATCTATCATCTCAGAACATTAACTCTCCCTCTAAAAACCCTAAAAATACATATGTATCCCCTCTATGTAAAGGAACACCTAGAAGAAGAGTGTTGCTGTGAAAAATAAGAAGAAGAAGGCAGGGAAGGGAGTACAGGAGGGGAAGAAAGGGCAAGACAACAAGAAAACAAAGAGGGTTCTAGATTTAGGATGTGGCTCTGATTATAGTGAGGAAGGGCAGTGGTCAAGTGATTCAGAGTTGTCTGACCTTGATGTTGATTTTGATCTATGTGAGGAAGATGATGGTAAAGAACACGGAGAGGAAGAAATACTTGTAAGGGTTGCAACTAGGTCAAATGGAGAGGGTACATCTCAACCCACACCACAGGATGACAATGTGCCACAAGAAAGCAAAGGTAAAGTAGACTGTGTGCCACAAGAAAATGTGCTCATTGGTGATGTGCAATAGTTAAGTATGATTCAGAGGAGTTGAGAAGCTTACATGAATCTGATGATGAGGTAGACCCATACCCCAACTTCAACCCTGAGGTAGATTTTAACAGTAAAATTAACTTCACAATTGGTTTAAAATTTCCAAATGTTTATGCAGTTAGAAATGCAATTAGGAATCATAGCATTGAGAATACTTATGATTATTATCTGTTGCATAACAGTAGCAAAAGAGTGATTGCATATTGTAGGAATAGGTGTTACTGTCCATGGGATAAAAACATGGGAATTAAAGGAGTGTAAGTGTCATGATGAAAATAAGTGTAACTTTAGGATATATTTAAGACAGTTGAAAGGTGAATCAACTCTTCAAGTGAAAACAATAAATTTGAAACATACTTGTGGGTTTTTTCATTCAAATTCAAAAGTGAACTCAGAGTGGCTTGCATTGAAATACTTGGATGATTAGAGATCTGATCCCACATGGAAGTTGGTTAGATTTAGGGATAGGGTGTACAAAGATTTGGGCATACATATCAGGTATTACAAGGCTTGGTATGCTACGGCTAGAACGAAATTGATATTGTATGGAGATGCATCAAAAGAGTATGCTAGGATATTTAACTATAGGTATGCAATCTTGAAATACAACCCTGGTTCAAGTGTCATAGTTGTCATTGAAGGAATTGAGAGACCTCCCCCTTATTTTCAAAGAATGTATGTTTGCTTGGAAGCTTGTAAAGTGGGATTTAAAAGGGGTTGTAGGCCATGGCTTGGTGTTGATGACTGCCACCTGAAAGGTGCTTTTCCAGGCCATATTCTGATTGCAGTAAGGATGGGAATAATAATATATTCCCAGTTTCCTGGGCCATTGTGGAGGTTGAAAACAAGTATAGTTGGACTTGGTTTTAGAATCGATGTTGAAGGATACTGGCTTTGAAGATGGCCTTGGAGTCATACTAATGTCATATAGGCAAAAGATAACACTTGTAATGTTTTTATTTTGTCATTCTATATGTACCTAATGAACTTTATACTGACATTGAACTACATACAAGGCCTGATTGAAGCTATTGCATTGGTGGCTTCAAAAGCAGAAGTGAGGTTTTGTGCCAGACACATCTGGGATAGTTTTAAGCTCAAATTCCATGGTGATACATCAATGA